CTTTCATCCACATGGTGATGGCTCACATGGTGATGTGTGCGTTTTGCAATAAGTTTTTGTAAAAAAAAAGGTTATTGTCCATTTCATTTTTGAAGTTCAGGAAGTATCAGTGAGGTGTGTGTCTGTCTCTTTAAAGACTCAGAATTGGCCTTAATGACATTGCTTGAAGTGTGCCATCAAATATAGTTACAAACTATAACTCTCCCCAGTCGTCTGTTTGCTCTGGTTGCTACGCGATGCTGGAAATAGTTTATCACACAATGCAATTCCACTTCCATCAGTTTTCTACTGGGAACTGTAGACACAGATACACACACATAGATCAATATGACCCCTAGGGGAAGGTTAGAGATAGTATTTTGCATTTACAGTAAAATCTTTTAAACCCATTTAAAAACCATTCTGATAAAAAAAAGTGCACAGGGCACTAAAAACAGAAACTATGAATCGATGAGCAGCAGCGAAGAGTTGTGTTTGCCATGTGACTTCTTCATTTTTAATGGGCTTCTTAAATGCTGATATGGGCAGAAAAAATGCGCTAGCTTGCTCCACACAAGATAAGGGAGGTGGAACAGTCATTGATCGAAGCTAATGATTTTCACATTAAATTGGAGGAAAGGACAGAGACAAAGAGTCAGAGAGAGCGAGGATGGGGGAAATGTTTCTTCCTCTTCTAATCCTGCAGTGGAAATGACACGGGAAGATAAAACCAGCAGCAGTGTGTTAGCTAACAACGCAGGCCTAGTAAAACCAAATACTTTACATTGGTATTGATGTGAATGTACAGTAAAAAGTGTGAATGTGCCATTGTTAGCGTAAGAAGCTATTTCAACCTGTCATGAAAATGACTTGATATTTTAACGACAAATTTGAAAAGAAACAGTTTTTAAAAAAAAAAACAGTCTTTAAAAGAATATACAAAGCTCACTTCTATCCTTGTCCGTATTCAAAAATGGCACATTGGACTGGGTGTGTAACTAGTAACTGAACACATTTCCTTTTTGAATTATGGACACAAATGTGAACAAGCAAGCTAATATTATAATATAAATAATATATATATATATTAAATAATATAAATATACCAAGGCTTATAACCCACAAGTCATATGCACAACTTTTAGGATGCTTTTTTGTACTTTCTGTAGATTGATGACCCCTTATAAAAGCTCAAACTAAAAAAAGCTAAAAGCTGTTTGTTTTTTTACAGAAAATGACTAAAAATGTTACAGTAAAAAGCTGTTAATAGGTTAACTGTAAAATATATACAGAGAAAAATGTAAAATGATTTAACATAGGTCTAATGTGGCTTAATGTATTTCATGTAATTTTACTTTAATTTTACTGTCCAATTCGAGGAAGTAGAAACAAGTAAAAACTATGAAATACAGTACCATGTCTTTGTTGTGTGACATCAGACATGAGTGAGGTGCAGAGGTGTTGTGTGCTGTGTAAACATGACGGTTATTGTTGTTCTAAATGTGAACATTTACCCATCTCACTTGCACAAAAACAGATTCCTCAAAATGAATAAAAATATGCTAAATAATAGAAATACACTTTATGTATTTAATCTCACTTTATTAACCAATGTCTTTGCTGCTGACCTTTGATGATCCAATTCAACCAAAGTAAAAGTTGGTTTATCTAATGCAAAAATTACTTTAGATAAACAGCACATTTGTGTTTAATATTTTTGTTTGTTTTTTATTGCTGAAGTAAGAGTTTTGAACTTTCTTCTTCGTCCTCTTCTTCTGCTATCGAAAATGGCAGCACAGCTGAAATGTTTAGTGCCCTCTACTGTACAGGAGTGAATTTGCATTTCCATTTGCAATTTCCACTTTTGGTGTGAAAGGAACTTTACATTTGCCAAAAATAGAACTTTTTTATTATTAAAAAACAAACAAGCAAGCCCAGACCAGTTAAGAAAAAGTAACTCAAAAGTAACGTTACGCATAAAAAAAAGTGTACATATATATATATATATATATATATATATATATATATATATATATATATATATATATATATATATATATATATATATATATTAGCATGCAGGTTTGAAATTACATGGGGGTGAGTATGCAGACAGATATGTAATTTTTAGGTTAACTATTCCCTAAACTACATAATATCCAATACAAATCTCTTTAATTTGTTCTGCAATAGCTTGATACAGCATTATTGGGCATTATTGTTGTCTGAATTTAGGTTGCTCCTCATCTAACTGAACAGTCTGAACTGCAATGAAAAATTAATTTAGATCACTGCCTTGTGTGTTTCCAGGGAAATTAAATGGGTGTTCATTCACCTAAAGCTTAAAAACTTTTCTATTCATTTTTAAAGAGGCTAAGGGTCAGTGCTGTATGTGTTTATGTGCATCTGGATGTTGTTTTGTATTTCAAGTTGTTGCAGGCTTGAAATGGTCCTCATTTGGCTGATTTGTAAGAGAATTTCGAAAATGAAAATGTATCTGGTAATCTTGGAAACATGATAAAACCAATGAGCAGTATCACCTGTAATAATAGTTTGTGTATTGTTTTTTACTGCTTGCAAATCTCATGTCTATTTAACCTAACCACATTTGCATTGTGGATGCTTTGTGTTTGTGTGTGTTGTACATGTATATATACTGCATTGTGAGGACCAAATGTCCTTTTTTGTGTGTTTTTGAGTTTTCTGTGATGGGTAGGTGTAGTGTAAGGGGATAGAATATACAGTTTGTACAGTATAAACATCATTACACCCAGGGATGTAGTGGAGGCTAAACGCACGTAAACGCCGTTTACGCACCTCCCAATATTCGGAAATAGCGTTTACCCACCTCCAAAGTGCGTTTATCCACCTCTAAATTGCGTTTATCCACCTCTAAATAGCTATAAATTAAGCTTATGTCGTTTTAGTTTCATATTGTTAATTATTAGTTAGTTTCTTAGGTTGTTAAACCTAAGACGAACTCTTTCATATTGCGCTGCATTACTGTCAGTGTTGTTGACTTTTACTGACGGTGGTTGCGCTGTTGACGCTCGCGCAGCCTCTCGAGGAGAAATCTACACAAATGAGCGCACACACACACTCAGTTAACAACATACTGCCTATAAAAAATCTAAATGTGGAGTTTTTATATTTTTAACATATGTTAAGCAACCTCAATTATTTTTCCTGAACACCATCACGATTGAAAATGTGACATTGATTTCCTACAACAGTTCAATAAACAGTTCAAATTAAGTCACTTACATTTTAGATGCAATATTGGCTGTTTTTGTTCTGTTTCAGCAGCGAAAATAGTTCCAAACAAAAATCACAGCAGAACCACGGCGCATCTCACAGGAACACTCAACCTGTTTTCATTACTGAATCATTCAGCATTTTGAACGATTCGATTGAGTCAAAGATTCAATGACCCATTCATAAACATCTGTCTCAATCTTGAATGAATCAGCCGTTTGAACAAATCGTTTGAATCATGAATGAATCAATGACTCGCTCATTAAGACGGTCGCCTGCCGCCACCTACTGGCGGTTTCGTGTTATGTTTAAAAGTAGATCATTCTTTCCAACGTTTCTTATTTGTAAATTTAAATCAATTTCATAACATTATTTTATGCAATTGTAATTTTTCAGTGTAAATGATTTAATTTGATCAGCCCTATAGTGTCTTATTATTCGAAATAATTGAATTTATTGATCAAATTTAGGAATTTAAAATGAAAGATGAAGCATACATTTAATAATATCTGGGAGGGGATGCCCTTTAAAGGTGCAAATATTACAATATGCCGATTTAAATATCAAAGCTAATTGAACACTGATGAGAATGTTGTTTCAGAATAAAAAAAAATAAAAAAAATCCTGACGAGAAACTTTTTTACTCGGACAAGTGAATGACAGATTTACTTGTCCTAAGGTCAGGACAAGCGTATGAAAAGGCTTAATGTCGAGTCCTGCCTAATAGCAATGTCATCAGGACATCAGGATACACATACGCAGTGGCCCACCTTACCGGGTGACCACGTCGTGGTCCACCAGAATTTATAGTTTACCCACCTCTTTTTTTACCACTGCACCTCTGATTACACCTATTGAGAGTCCCCACAAAGATAGCGAAACAAAGGGTGTGTGTGTGGATGGGGGGTATGTGTGTGACTTCAGTCCAAAGCCAGCAGTAGTGTGATTTTCTATGACAGGAAGGGGAACGTTGAATGAAAACACTTTCTGTTTATCCAGTTGCTTCCTAGTACAGCGCTGCTAACAGACACACACTAATACACACGTTAAAACAAAAGCACTCTCACACATTCTTACATTACATACATATTATTATTACATTATACACACAAGCATATTTAGCAGGTGTTCTGGTGAGAGCTGCAACTGTTTTCCAAGATATTGGTTTGTTTTTGCATCATGTTTTAATTGAATTTTAGATGTGTATTATTTTAATTCAGTGAGAAATGATCCAACAGAACTAGTGTAAATTTGATCCAGACACACGCACGCACACACACGTTGACAGGCACATGATTGTGTTTAAATGATTAAACAAGTGTTCAACCCCACAGATGCCCCAGTTTAAGTGTGGCGTGTGTTTGAGTCTGTGTGTGTGTATAGATGAGAAATTGTGGAATATAAAATATTAAAATTGCATTTATACATAATGCAGCACTAACCAGACCAGACACACCAGAATTCTCTCTCTCTCTCTCTCTCTCTCTCTCTCTCTCTCTCTCTCTCTCTCTCTCTCTCTCTCTCTCTCTCTCTCTCTCTCTCTCTCTCTCTCTCTCTCTCTCACACACACACACACACAGAGAATTACTGTACGGAAAACTGTTTTGGTCTGTGTAACTTTATTTGAGCAAATTATATGTATACTGTAAAAAACAAACAAACAAACCAAAGAGTGTTATCTCTATGACAACAGCTGGACAATACTGATAAAGGTAGTTCCTTTTACCTCTGTAAATGATTATCATAAACTCATTCAACCAAATAAGTTTTTCTTTTTCAGGAAACACCACAATGTCCATAGAAGGAAATTAATATTTTCATATGCACATTATTAAAACAAATCTGACAGAAAATGCAAAAGCACTGAGAGGGACGAGGAGAATAAGTGACAGCAGCAGCATCTATCATATGATTTGTTGTCTACAGTAACATATGCAAACTAACTAATCATGTTCACTTTCTCCTATAGACAAAAACAACAGAACGTGACGCAAAAACCTCTCATTTTTTTATTCATATGGCAGTCAAGTTCTACATTCTAACTCTAAATATCTCCTTCTCTCTTTTCTCCAGACCTCTTTTCCACCCGTTCCTCTGTGTTGCGTCAAAGGCACCTCATGCCCAAGGACTGCCAAACTATTCACAAGATAAGTGTGTGTGTGTGTGTGTGTGTGTGTGTGTGTGTGTGTGTGTGTGTGTGTGTGTATAAGCCTCTGTAAATAGCATGACTCTGTCCTCTCGTAACATCAACTGCAGTCACATCTATTTTATTGTGTGTCGGAAGTGTGGTCAATCCAGGCTGCGTCAAACAATTTGCTCTAGAATGTCGACCTTTAAATATCAAATGTTAATACGTTTTGATAATTCATCAGTAGTTTTAAGTATTCATTCTTCTAAGGAAAAACATTGATAAATAAGTGTAGGCATGTGATTATGGCGAACCGTTATGAGACAAAATGTGTGAAAATCAACATTAAGACCTCATGGCATGACTGTAAAATCACATCCTAGCAGGTGTAAAGAGTTACGGAGCGAGTTGCTCATGGAATCATGCCTTCAGGTGTGTGTACGCATGTATTTTGTATGTGTATTTGTGTGCATGTTTATAAGTGCAAACATTTAACCCTCATTAATTTCTCATATACAACCTCATTAATTTCTTAAATTAACCCTCATTAATTTCTCATCAAACCCGCTAATGAATTCCTGAACTTCTAGGTCTGTCAATACACTTATTCGCTTTGGATGAATATAAGAAATATAACAAAAATGAAATGTGGTTATTGAGTATTATTAATTTTGTACAAATGTTATACAGCACAAGGGGTAGATGGACCCTTTAGTAATGTTAGTACTGCACTCTGCCGAGGTCACCTAGAAACGTGCTTTAAGACCAAATGAAAGTTTGTTTTTTATTTGGTTCCTTTTTTTTTTATTTATATTTTTATATAATAAAAAAAAAAAAAAAAAAAAAAAAAAAAAAACCTGATTATGACAGGTACCCATACTCATCATCAACTTGTTCATATTCATCATCATCATCTCCCATCTCCTCTTCATCATTTACAACATCACCATCCTCATCGTCTGAGAGCAGTGAGTCGCCACTGCCAAAATCTCCGGAAGACTCCGCGGCTGAAAGGAAAAACAGTAGCTCTTTTGATTTCTTACAACTTTAGCTCTTACAATGAACACATTTCATTGCTGTTTTTGAAATAAAAATAATTGACAATAAAGACATTTATAATGTTATAAAAGATTTCTATTTCAAATAAATGCTGTTCTTTTGACTTTTCTTTTATTCAAAGAATCCTGAAGAAAAATGAATATCACGGTTTCCACAAAAGCAGCACAACTGTTTTCAACATTGATAATAATAAGAAATGTTTCTTGAGCAGCAAATCAGCATATTAGAATGATTTCTGAAGAATCATGTGGCACTGAAAATCCAGCTTTGCCATCAAAGGAATAAATTATGTTATTTTAAATAGTATTATTTCACGATATTACTGTTTGTAATGTATTTTTCATCAAATAAATGCAGCCATGGTGAGCATCAGAGATTTCTTTCAAACAATTAAAAAGTCTTACCAACCCGAAACTTTTAAACAGTAGTGTAGTAATAATGTCAAATGTTTTAATATTAATTTAACATGTCAAATGTTTTTTAATAATAATTTAACCAATCAAAATAATCTAACAACATTCAGTTTCATGAGGTAATATGCAAAACTGCAAACAGCTACATCTGTAGTCATTCACACAGTTCACATTTTTTTGTTTTGTCTGCATAATTGATGTCGGATAACTTTTTTTTTTCTTCAGCATCTCACGCCATGAACAACGTAAGGAATAATTGACGATGGGCCGTTGAATTATCCGAAAAATAATGCACACTCGAGGTGGTAATGCGGTCACGACGTGAAGCGGAGTTTATAGTTTGCTAATTTAATAGTTTGCTAAATCCAAAACGTAATTTTAGATCTAGTAACGGAGTTTTGAGCCACTGATAGCAGACTAATGCAGTTATTAATGCAGTTATTAAAGAGAGGGGGAGAGATTGCAATAATGAGACAGAAAATCATGAGCGTCAATATTATGTATTTATTAATTCATTCATTTGTTTTAATTAATTCGTTAATTCTTTTTTTTTCTATTATTGACAGTAGGCTAGCCTAATAAATTAAACACAAAGCCTTTTTAACAAGTAGGCCTATCATTATTTATTTATTTGTTATATTATCTGCAATAATAACGAAAATCCTGCTGCACGGGTTATCAATTTATTTATAAATAACTGCACGTTTTCATTGATTGTGAAGTTAGACATCAAAAATGGCAGATCAAGCGCATGGGGCTGCATGTTTTTTCTTGTTATGAATTGTATCCTATTTTCTGTTATTATAGTTAACTATGCAAAGTGATATGTAACTGTAATGCGGTCAAGACCTGCCTGGAACTACTTTAGCCGTGCGTTTCTCTGAAAATAATTGCACACCTTAGAACGTTCATCAGCCAATCAGATTCAAGCATTCAATACCCCGTAGCATACACGTTTTTAAAGGTCCCCTGACATGAAATTTTCACTTTCTGAGGTTTTTTAACATTAATATTAGTTCCCCTAGCCTGTATTTGGTCCCCTCGTGTCTAGAATTTTCAATCGGTGTAAACCGAGCTTTGGCTATTTTTCTCTTCTCTGCAGCTCAGACGCGCTGATCTTGAATCTCCTCCTTATGACGTCATAATGAGGAAAGGTTACCTCCCCTTTCTCTGCTTTGCCCGCCCGGAGAATTTGGCTCACCCAGGAGAAAATGAGCTAGGAACAGGAAGTACGAACGGGCCGGCGCGATTTTAGTTTTTCCTAGAGAAATAGCTTTGAGTTTTTCCTCGAGAGATATCATGGCTTGCAAACGAGCGAAGCATGGCAGTTGATCAGTGTTCGGATGTACAAATGAACACAAAAGTATTTTTTAGTTCCTTCATCCGAGCCTCTGAAGAAACAATGGGTTAATTTTATTTTCTCTGGAAATATCGAGCTACCAAGCAACAATCTTTCTCTCAAAATCGTTCAATACTGTTTATGCATCAGTAAGTCAAGCCAGTGACTAAAATATCAACTTCACATCGTTTCTTTTAGTAGGATGAAAATAATCTTATTTAAATTCTGAACAAATTATACAAAAAGCGATCAAAGAACAATCTTTCCACACAGCGCGAGTTTATCTGGACAACTCGTTATGAAATCAATGACGCACTTACTGTGTGTACATCATCGTGTTTGCATTGGTGAAAGCATTAGAGAGAGTGCAGAAACTGCGTTGCAATGATAGGATCTTCATTCTCGCGATCAACACACTGTCATCTGCTCAATGCTCATCACTGCAACATTTTATGTGATGGGAATAGATCTAAAAACTTTAAAAACTTCTCACGATTCGTTAATCTCGATAGCTGTAATAGTAAAAACGTATAATAGCTGTAGTAAAAATATTCGAGAAAGTTTCGCATGTAATACATAGCTATTTCATATGCAAGCATGTCAGCCAATCACAGCAGTGGGCGGTTCCACTGAATCCCACAGCAGACACGCCCCTTCAAACAGAGCGTTCAAATCAGAGGCTAAAATCAGGCTAGGAAAAATGCCTTTTATTTCTAAATTATAACTATTTTTGATCTAAAAAACATACTAACATTATAAGGGCAACCCAGGAAACATTATAAAACAATAAAATAACCCCATGTCAGGGGACCTTTAAGACACCGTGTCAAGTTAAAGTCTTGAAACCAAGGACTCGCGTTTCTCTAGTGTAATTGTTATTGAACACAATAACTAATACTCTGATTATTTTCACAAATACTTGCTATAGTTTGATCATCAGAATACTTATTTGCATTGTAAATTGGAAGTTTTTTTTTTTTTTTAAATGATCGATTTTGTCAACTGATTGTTTTCTAATTTATTAGCTAATTAACTAGCCCCTCCAGTTGGAAGAACTAAAATGCGAAATGTAAAATGATTGGTTTTCGTATCAGCCAAGAATTCTGTGAAGTTCATTGCATCCCTATATTTTACATATTAAACAGATTACTTATTTGACTTTTCTCATTACTAGATAATGAATCTAAAGGTTACGTATGATGAGCCCCTCTTACCACAGTCAGCAGGCCCGTGGGTATGAGACCCCGCGACCTCGTTTCCATAGCGGTCGACACACCAGCACTGACCACTGCTACCATGACACTGGTGAGGCTTATAGAAGCCATTCTCATCACAGGAGGGGATGTATGGACCTACACAAACAACACACACACACACACACACATTAGCATCAGTCCTAATGTCAGGAAACATTACATCACCGACAAGATTATACACAGCCACGGAGAGTGTCTCACAGCCACACTCACACAGATAGGGAGATGATATATTCAATGTCAGAGAACATAACTGTCACCTCCCTCCGAGAGCTTGCTCTCTCTCTTAGTCTCTCGCTCACATTCATTTCTTTTCAACTTCACAGCTTCTTGCTACAGAATCACCACAGTCAAGCTTTTTTTTTTATCTTTCTCTCTTTTTTTTTGTCTTTTTATAATTCAGTGCCGGAAGCCATAGAGCCGTCACTGTGCGTTCCACTCAGGGGAGAAACAGCAGTTAAAAATATCCTTTTTTTCATGTCCAATTTCCCCTCATCTCATTCCCCTGCTCAAATTAAACACGCGACCTTCAGAGTGAGGGAAAAAAACTCTGAGTGATTTCTAGCTTTAATAGAATTAATGTTGGCTTGCCTCTCGCTGTTTGGCACCCTGGTTTTACTGTAACTGTGTTCAGGTTGTGATGACATTGAGATGATTGTTAAATGCTAGTGCTTTATATATGAACATGGTGTAAAATGCTGAGGAAAAAAGTTTAAAAGATTTGAAACTATGGAACACAAGTCTGGTGTTTACAGCTATGATTCTAGAATAGATTTTAGTGTGTAATGTTAATGCACTTTGTGTTTCAATAAGGTATGTCAGACAAAAATGTTAAATGACAATGATGCAATTTATTTACTAAGTATCATGTAATGCATCATGGAATCATTTAGCCACTATTCAGTTTGAATCGGTTCAAAACGTATGATGAAAAATTACTTTTAAAAAGTATGCTTTTTAGACAACTGTAACTAAATTTATTAGGTCAATCTTTTTTTTTTTTCGTTTTATAATAAAAAAAATATTTACAACATAAGATTGATTCATTAATCTAGCTAATATAGATGATACATATAGATGATAAAATTACCCATGAAATTATTACTCCAACTTCCATTTATTCAGCCAATTGAAAATGGTTATCAGTCAAGGCTTGTAATCTCAAAATGGCCAAATACATGAAGCCAAAATACTGGTCTGTCACTTAACATGATTCTGGATTACAAACATGGACCCCTTTTTTCTGTGTTTGCAAAAATTACATGTATAAACGAAACACACTAGACGACAGATTGGACTCACCCAGTAATTTCTTCCCAGCTTGTTGTTTGTGGATGACGGTGATCTCTGATTGGCAGGGAGTTTCTGAAATGCATTGATTTCAGATCAGAAGTGATAAAGAAATGTTCAATCTTAATACACTTTACAGTAAGGTTGTATATGGTAGTATTAGTATTTGTAACAATTTATTTAATGTAAATCAAAATAAAATAAATAACCATTAAAACATTTAGCTAATGGATTATACTAGGGATGCCACAATTCTCAATATAATATTGAACCGTTCGGTACGGAACCGTTCGGTTTTACGGTTAAATAATTGATGTGCGTTTTATTTCTCTCCGAATTGACTGTTTGTGTGTGCCTGTAAGTCTACGAACTGAGATGAGGAAACTCCTCCCCGCGAATAAATATTTAATCACTATGCTCTAAAGTTTGGGGGGGGGGGGGGGGTTGGGCGCGGCTTAACCATCATTCCACACTTTAACATGGCGAGCGGCGGTGAAGTGAGGCTACAGTACGAGGAAGCGCCGGCGTCTTTCAAATCCGTGGTGTGGGGACATTTAGGTTTTGCCATTGAGTATAATGCTGAGGAAGAAAAAACGGTAAACAAAAAAATGCATTGTTTTACACGTGTAGCCTACTCAAACGGAAACACTTCCAACATGACTGCACATCTGCAGGGTTAGGAATGCGGGGTCAAAATATAGGAATAGATAGGGCACCTAAGTGAAATTGCACTTTACATTCTGAATGAAGGATACTGTACTGGAGTACTGTTAAGTTTAATTAAGATGGTTTATTTATGTTTACTGAAGTGCAAGTATGTTTATTTGAAATGGTCAATTTTACCAACTTCACATGTATGTTTATTTTCAAAATTTAGGAATTTATGTGTTCCCCAGTTTGTACATGGGCTACCAGCAGCTGTGAAATGTCAGTGTTCATTTTATATTATACAATACACTAGGAACTAGTGGACTTTTCTTAGCTTTTAAGTAAAATAAAGGAGTATTTCAATAAATCGTTTTTATTTTTTTCTCCTTAACCTCTTACTGTTCCTATTGTCTAAGCATGGAATAACAAAAAAAAAAAAAACTTCTATGTGTCAAGCCATCAGAACCGAACCGAAAACCGTGGTTAAAAAACTGAGGTATGTATTGAACCGTGGGCTAACTGCATTGTTGCATCCCTAGATTATACATAAATATAAGCAATAGTATATATATTAACATTTACAAGATAATTTTAAATATTTAAATTTCATAAAAAATAGTGTTATTTCAGAATAAATTATCTCATTTCAACATGTACACCCTTAATAGAACAGTACCTATGCTCTGGAATACTTAATTCCCATTCGTAAATTATGACTGGTGAAATATTTTTGTATAGTGACCTCTAAACTGTGACCCTGGACCACAAAACCAGTCACACGGGGTCAATCTTTTTGAAATTGAGATTTATACATTATCCGAAAGCTGAATAAATAAGCTTTCAATTGATGTATGGTTTGTTAGGATAGGATAATATTTGGCCGAGATACATCTATTTGAAAATCTGGAATCTGAAGATGCAAAAAAATCGAAACATTGAGAAAATCACCTTTAAAGTTGTCCATTTATGTTCGCGATTGTGCTGCATTCACTCACAAAAATAAATGTTTTATATACTTATAGTAGGAACTTAAAGGGATACTCCACTTTTTTTGGAAATAGGCTTATTTTACAACTCCCCCAGAGGTAAACTGTTGAGTTTTACCGTTTTTGAACCCATTCAGCCGATCTCCGGTTCTGGCGGTACCACTTTTAGCATAGCTTAGCATACATCATTGAAGTGGACAAGACCATTAGCATTTCTAAAAAAAAAAGACCAAAGAGTTTCGATATTTTTCCTATTTAAAACTTGACTCTTCTGTAGTTAAATCGTGCACTAAGACCGACGGAAAATCTAAAGTTGCGATTTTCTAGGCTGATATGGCTAGGAACTATACTCTCATTCCTGCGTAATAATCAAGAAACTTTACTGCCGTACCATGAGTGCAGCAGGCGTAATGATATGACGCAGCGCCTGAAAATAGTCCCCAGCTCGGTAACTTCCAACGTGACCGGGACTAAGTGCCTGCGCCTGCTGCACTCATGGTACGGCAGTAAAGTTTCTTGATTACTACGCAGGAATGAGAGTATACTTTCTAGCCATATCAGCCTAGAAAATGGCAACTTTACATTTTCCGTCGGTCTTAGTGCACGATGTAACTACAGAAGAGTCAAGTTTTAAATAGAAAAAATATCGAAACTCTTTGGTCATTTTTTTTTTTAGAAATGCTAATGGTCTTGTCCACTTCAATGATGTATGCTAAGCTATGCTAAAAGTGGTACCGCCAGAACCGGAGATCGGCTGAATGGATTCAAAAACGGTAAAACTCAACAGTTTACCTCTGGGGGAGTTGTAAAATAAGCCTATTTCCAAAAAAAGTGGAGTATCCCTTTAATACAAAATATCTTCATGGAACATGATCTTTACTTAATATCCTAATGATTTTGGCATAAAAGAAAAATCTATAATTTTGAACCATTCAATGTATTGTTGACTATTGCCACAAATATACCCGTGCGACATGTGACTGGTTTTGTGATCCAGGGTCACATATTTGAGAATTGTCCATGGAAACATACAGGGTTTACTTTCATGTCTTCTTTGCGTCAAGGTCCTGATCTCCCTGTCAGGGTTTATTATGCCTTACGTAACTGTTCTGTAACTTTCTATCAGGCGGTGTGCTTGTGCAAATTCTTAATGGTACAGTATGTGAATAGTCTTTTGGTTTTGGCTGAGAGACAGTCCTCCTCTATCTTGAAATTCTTGAAAGCATGTGGGAAAAGTTTGTTTACAATAAGTTTTACTGTACCTTGATATCTCTGAAAGCAAGAACACCACTCCTGGCTGGAAACGAGCCTGTCTCTGTCTGGGTCACATGACCTGAGGAAGGCTTTAGTGCACACATCACTCTTCTCTGAGCTCAAGCTGGACAGCTCTGATTGGTCGAGCTGAAGGTCAAAGTTTGTGTCCAGTCTGGAGAACATCCAGCCCAGAGAGTCCTTACAGAGGGGCACCTTACTCATGTCCACCTCTAAACAGACAGATAGAGAGATTGTAGAAAGGTGTTTGGTGTCATTTTTTTATTGATTTCATTGTCATTGTTATTAGGTTAGCAGTCATATTAGAAGTTTTGATGTGTGTGTGTGTGTGTGTGTGTGTGTGTGTGTGTACTCACTCCTCTCTGGCTTCTGGAACTTATATTTCTTGCTGGGATTGCCACTCTCATGAAGAACTGTGATCCACTCTCGTAATCTGCTAACCACTTCAGTCATCTCTGCATTACCACACTCTACAAAACAAATAAAAGCAGAACATTCATAAATGAAACAGCTTCAGTCGAGCACAACAGTAGTATTTAAGAAGTAAAAATCTCATTAATTTTATTCAAAGAAATTTGAGGTTAAACGAAGATATGCTTTTGTAGCAGTGACACTTCAGAGTGATTTTATTTTTAAATGACTGTTCAGTTGTCTAATTTCCTGTGAAAGACTACACTAACCATAATCGTGAAGAAAACTCCACCAATCAGAGTACTTGCTGTTAGATCAGGTGAAATTGACCTTCCAAAAAGCTTTCGAGACGGATTTAAATCCGATTACTCAAATTACTTCAGGAGGTGGTTTGAGATGGCCTGGTCCCACCAGACTCTCGTACATTTAATTTGTACAGAGAGTCTGGCTCCGCTCCATTGACAAGAGTTAACTTCCTTGTAGGCGTCTACTCCGTTGAAGTTTAAAACTATTGGATTTGCCCAGAGTCACTCTGGATCTGCCATAACCAATCACTAACGTTTGGTCGTGACGTATGACGACTCAAACTAGCGCACAACATCAACGTCATTGTTCTCAGCCACACCCTCTGTTCGCTGATTGCTGATTGGACCGGTAAAAAATTGACCGGAGAAAACGTACTCGGTTACTAACGTAACCTCGGTTCTCTCTAGAGAGGGAACGAGTACTGCGTAATAGCTTTACGCTAGGGGAAAAACTCTTTTCCGCGAGATATTGAAGCCAAAAATTATCCTTTAATTTTTTATTAATGCAAAACGCTTTGCAGCAGCAAGCAAACATAGGCGAAACAGCTCGCGCGCCTATTGGTTGCTCTGCAGCAAATGCAGCAGCCTATCGAGAGAGACTCTGCGTGACGTAATGACCAATGGGGGCAATTCGCGCCCATATCGTCACGTCCCGCCAGAAGGGGCGTGGTCTCGCCCTATAAATATGCTCGTTAGGCTGATACAAGCTGGTTTTTATCGCTGAAGCGAACCAGAGCGTATTCCACGCACGGCAAGATACGCAGTACTCGTTCCCTCTCTAGAGAGAACCGAGGTTACGTTAGTAACCGAGTACGTTCTCTTACGAGAGTATCTCTCGTACTGCGTAATAGCTTTACGCTAGGGGAACACAATGCAACACGCCGTGCGTAAAGGGATCCAACACCAAAGTCCCAGGGGCCGAAGCCCAGGGCTCATGTAGTGCATAATCACCATAAACTCACATAGAGTAAAGGAAGAGAGGCTGGAAGCGTCATTCCCTATACAAAAGCACCCAGCGGGGCTATTATATGACCATCAACGCGCAGCCAGGGTGAAAGCATTCAGCCTGATCTGGGCGGCCATACGTGAGTCAACACTCATGGGGCTGCAGTAAACTCAGCATCTGGGCCGCAGAGCGGGGCAGATAGCACTGAATTTAGACCGCCAAAAGCTTAGCTTGTAAGGCGGGTACCTCCAGGTTATAGTATTTTATAAATGTAGACGGCGAGGCCCAGCCCGCGGCCGTACAGATATCTTGCAGGGAAACCCCGCTAGACCATGCCCACGAAGAGGCCACGCCTCTCGTGGAATGCGCCCTGACACCCAAGGGGCACTGTAAGCCCTTCGCAGAGTAAGCGAGCGCGATGGCATCCACTATCCATCTGGATAGGCTCTGTTTTGAGGCGGCGAGTCCCTTGGAACGCCCGCCGAACAAAACAAAAAGCTGCTCCGTCTGTCTGAAAACAGACGAGCGTGCCACATAAGCTCTCAATGCCCTGACGGGGCAGAGGAGACTTGCATCCTCCTCCTCACTGAGAACCGGAAGGGCAGACAGGGAAATGACCTGGGCCCTGAACGGCGTGTTGAGGGATTTCGGGACATACCCGTGTTTCGGTTTGAGAATGACCTTTGAGTCATTAGGCCCAAACTCCATACATGACGCGCTTACTGAAAGCGCCTGTAGGTCCCCTATGCGCTTCACTGAAGCGAGAGCCATGAGAAACACTGTCTTGAACGACAGGTGTTTCATGTCCACCAGCTGGATTGGCTCGAACGGGGCGCCTTTCATGGCCTCCAAGACCGTGGAAAGGTCCCACGTCGGGACTGAAGGGGGCCTTGGAGGGTTCAGCCTCCGAGCTCCCCTAAGGAAACGCACGACTAAGTCGTTTTTCCCAAGCGACTGGCCAGACACCGGTTTTGCAAATGTTGCTATGGCCGCCACATATACTTTGAGCGTGGATGGGGTCCTGCCCTTATCCAGTAGCTCTTGAAGGAAGGAAAGCACTTCCGCAACCCCGCACTCCACAGGTGAAAGGCTCTGGGCCTGACACCATGTAGAGAAAACAGACCATTTCGAGGAGTAGAGCCGCCTGGTAGACGGAGCTCTAGCCTGCGCGATCGTGTTTAACACTCCCTCTGGGAGGCTAGCGGGTACCCGTTGATGGCCCATGCGTGCAGGGACCATAACTCCGGGCGAGGGTGCCAGATTGAGCCCTCCGCCTGAGAGAGGAGGTCTCTCCTCAATGGTACAGGCCATGGGGCAGTGCTGGTCAGCTGCATCAGGGCAGGGAACCACGTCTGGTTCGTCCAGAGCGGGGCTACAAGCAGCACTGGGCATCCGTTTTCCCTGATTCGTTCCAACACCTGAGGCAGGAGCGAGACAGGAGGAAAAGCATACAGGGGGCAGCGGGGCCAAACATGAGCCAGCGCGTCCTTGCTTTTCGAGAAAAACTCCGGGCAATGAGCGTTTTCTTGGGACGCGAATAGGTCCACCTGAGCTCTGCCGAACGTTTTCCACAGCAACTGGACCGTCTGCGGGTGCAGCGACCATTCCCCTGCTGGAACGTTGTTCCTGGACAGTCTGTCTGGTCCCACGTTCAGGTGACCAGGCACGTGCGCCGCTCTCAGTGAGAGCAGGTTGTGCTGAGCCCAAACCAGGAGGCGTTCCGTCAACCTGTGAAGGTTTCGTGACCTGACGCCGCCCTGGCGATTTATGTATGCCACCACCGACATGTTGTCCGACCGGACCAAGACGTGGTGGCCTGTTATCTGGGGACAAAAACGCCGTAGCGCTTTGTCGACTGCTATCATCTCCAAGCAGTTTATGTGAAGGAGCTTTTCCCGTTCTGACCACAGGCCAGCTAGCGGTCTGCCCTCGAGCAGCGCTCCCCACCCCGAGGTGGAGGCGTCCGTAGACACCACCTTCACGCTCGAAGCGGTCCCCAGACTTACACCTGACTGATACCAGTCGGTTTCTCTCCAAGGTTTCAGAGCTGAAACGCACTGAAGGTCGACCCTGAGGCGAAACAGACCCGCTGTCCATGCCCTGGGTGGAACCCGCGTCTTCAGCCACATCTGCAGTGGGCGCATGCGGAGCAGGCCCAACTGGAGTACAGAGGCTGCTGAGGCCATCAGCCCCAGCATTTTCTGAAACCTTTTGAGCGGGACTATCGCGCCGTGGCGGAAGGATTTCACGCCGCGCTGAATATTTAGCACGCGCTCTGGTGACAGGCGTGCTGTCATGGACAGCGAGTCCAACACGGTTCCCAGAAAGGAAATTTTCTGACTGGGAGACAGTGAGCTCTTCGCCCAATTGACTGTGAGGCCCAGCTTCTCGAGGTGCTCGAGCAATGCGGCCCTGTGTTCTATGAGCTCCGATCGTGATCGAGCTAGAATCAGCCAATCGTCCAAGTAGTTCAGAACTCGCATGCCCTGAAGTCTCAGGGGCGCGAGCGCCGCGTCCATGCACTTCGTAAATGTACGAGGCGCTAGGGACAGGCCGAACGGCAGGACTGTGTATTGATATGCCTGGCCCTCGAAGGCGAATCTCAAAAATCGCCTGTGATGGGACGCTATTTGTATTTGGAAATAGGCGTCTTTCAGATCTATCGACATAAACCAGTCCCCGAAGCGCACCTGCGCGAGGATTTTCCTGGTCGTAAGCATTCTGAACTGGCGCTTCACAAGCACTCTGTTCAGCTGCCGCAGATCTAAAATGGGTCTGAGACCCCCATCCTTTTTCGGTACCAGAAAATATCTGCTGTATAGGCCCCCTTCGCTCTGAGCCTGAGATAAAGGTTCTATAGCCCCTTTGCTCAGTAGTTTCGCTATTTCGGCACGAAGTAGATGAGATACTTCGTTTTTCACCGTGGTTTCGACGCGCGCCGTATAACGGCGCGGGCGTCGAGCGAATTGTAGCGAATAGCCTCTCTTTATAGTGTTCAGCACCCATTCTGAAACCCCGGGAAGCTTTGACCACGCATCTGCGTGAATAGCTAGAGGCAGAATGAAATCCGGGCTCTGGCCGCGACAAAACGGCAGCTCGAGAGCCTGGGCATACTGGGAACACAACACCGTGTTTACAGCGTTCGAGGCGGGGGCCGCGCTCAGCTTTTTTATGGCAGATTGTGCAGAAAAAGCGAGCGGGGGAGATCCCGTGGGAATCGGCGTGTCTGTGAGAAAATGTGGGCGCGGGGCTGCGGGCACATTTAATACACTGAAAACACTGTCGTTCATGGCCGACTGAATGTGTGTTGGTTTCGTTTTTACAGAAACCATGGGACACGCAGCATGTAGTGTGAGCGGGCATGATGACATGGGCACTTGCACTACATTGTTTGCACAATCGACCGGAGTCGATTTTATTTGTGCTAGCCCTGCACCGTGGCGGGCTGTGTTTGTGTGTGGGAATGGGCACTGGGTGGGCATTCTTACAACACTCATAACACCTTCGGCCGTGGCCGGAACACCAGAAAATGCACTCTTTATTGGATTTATCTGGGTAGCCGTAAAAACGGCTTTTGTGCGCAGGCAAACGGGCTGTGACACCGGCTGACTCTCTGCGAAATACACTGGGACAGTCGCGATGTTTGGAACTGACCGAGCGAGAAGTTTTGGTGAAAAACCGGCCGCAGCGGGATCTGAACACCGTCGTTTTCCTAGAATGGCTAGGAAGATTTTGAGGCCTCGGGCTTGATCTCAATCCTCGGCCGGGGCCCGCGCTGAGGGGGGCGGCGTCCAGCAGAGCGAGAGCG